GCACAGCTCCTGCAGAGGGGCCAATTTGACTCCCAGTACTCATACAGGGTAGTGCACAACTACTTTAACTCCAGCTTCAGGGTATCTGACACCTCTGTACTCTGTGGGCTTCTGAACAGACCCCTCCCCCCACATGCACACATATCCACATAGTTTAAAATGTAAATATCTAAAAAGAAAGAAGCTCTATTAATGATGTTCTGCTATACTTGCAAACAGGAGGCTAGCATAACTGTCCTTTGAGAGGCATCCATTATAGATGTGTAGCTTGGTTTTCATGTGGGACTCCTAACATCAGGAGCTGGGGCTGTCTCTAACTCTGTCGCCTACCTTTGGATCCCTTTCTCCTAATGGCTACCTTGTCTAGCCTCAATAGAGAAGATGTGCCTAGTCCTACTAAACTTGATATGCTAAGGTGGTTGATGTCCACGGGAGAACTCCTCTTTTTTGTAGAGGGAAGATGGGGAGTGAGAATGGAGAGGAGAGGGAGGAACTGGGAGGAGGTGAGGAGGGGAAGAAGCTATCACAATGTAAAGTAAATAAATAATCAATGAAAAAAGAAGAAGGAAAGAAGCTCTGGGAACAGGAGTAGACTATTTTTTCAAGAGTCCGGTTCTCTGGAGATCCTATCTCAAAAACTAAGGTAGAAAATAAAAGAGAGAAACCCTACATTGACCTTTGGTTTCTACATGCACAAGCAGAGTTAAGTATGCTTCCACAAATGTGTGTGTGCGACACACACATCACACACAGAAGAATGCAAGACGTATCGTCTCACTGTTTTAAGATGTGCCAACGCTTCCTGCCAAGCTATGTTATTATTATACTAGTGCTGTCATCTCAGAAGTCTATGAATCCCTGTCATTTGAAATGATAATCACAACGTGATGTTAACGCGTGGGAATCAAGGCTATTCCTGCTCTCAAGGCTCATGTGCCCCAGCTGACCACACAACTTTCTTAGAATCAAGAGGGTAATTCTCACAGTGCTGCTGCTCTGGCCTTTCCTTCTTTAGAACCCTCTGAGTAAAGGCAGAAGCAGCCATGCAATTTAGTAGAGTAAACAAAGCCAAAGCCTGTTTGGTATGATTCAACCTGCCATTTTCCCTTTCTTGAAAAGGTAGTAGTTAAAAACAACATGAAGTTAACATCACCAATGTCCTCCATAAAGCCGGTTCCCATGGTCCATTCCCACGAACCTGTGTATGGTCTGGCATACCTAGCACTCCACCATACTTTAAGGAGTAACTGACACACCAGAACTTTCATTCTATACTCTCATGCAGTTAACTCAGGGTGAAGAATGTCCAACCAGAACATGGGAATTTATAAAATGCTATGGGTTGGATGTGGTTTGTTCCAAAAGGGCTTGTGAACTGAAAGCTTGGTTACTAATGGGAGGTTTAAGAAGTGGGAGCTCTGTGGGAGGTCACTAGCCCCCTGAGAGTGTTTTAAAAGTATTTTAAAAGACCTTGCCTGTCCTAGCCACTGCCTTCCTGTCTTGCCATGTAAAATCTCTCTCACACACTCTCACCATCCTGCCATCAATAAGGTAACATAATCATGGGGAAAGGAACGCTTACCACAGATGATCCTTAGCTTTTTGTTTAGCTTTCAAAACCATGTGTTAAGTAAACTTCTTGTCATATTATTTGGCCTCAAGTATTTTGTTATAGCAACAGAAAAAAATATATATATATATATAGAACATATATGTGTGTGTATCTGTCTTTAAATGTTTCCCTATAAAACGTTTATTAAGTATTTACTGATTAAGAAAGGAGAACAGCCATATTTATTTATTTACTTATTTTAAGCCATAATCATACTATGTACCCAAAATCATGATCCTCCTGCTTCAGCCTCCTGAGTGTTGAAATTGTCAGGCATGTGCACACCCAGTTATTAAAGCAGAGAGCCCATCCTAAGCATATGGTTAAAATCGATGTCTACAACAACAGAGCAAACAATCATCCTGTGTCTTCCTCTATAATGCAGAGCAAGGTGCCTCTGGCCCCTGTACTATGTGGCCAAAGTATTCCTATGAAACTTGAATACAATCAGAAAGAGAACTACACTTGAAATGTATTGTGTTAAGTTACTGACTTATGCCATTCCAAAGAAGAGAAAGCTGAAGAATGTAACAGAGTGACAAGGACTTGGGAGCCATGGCAGCTAAGTGTGATTCTGGAGCACAGAAGAAAGCAGTGAGACTATGACGCCTGCATATGAGATAACATTAAGCCAATGTTGACATCCAGAGTTCTGTTATTGTGCTTATGGTTACAGGGTAGAATGCCCTCCTTTTTAATGAGTGCGCAATGGAGTTGTTTACTAATTTGGTGTTGTTGGTTATTTGCTTGTTTATTTATTTAGTGCTGTTGGGAACCAAACACAAGACCCCATGCTTGATATGCAAAGGAGTCCATTCCAACCTTTCTTCCTGGCTCTCAGGATTTAGAGGAATTTGAACTGAAGGAAAATATTCATAGCTCATTTCTGAATGTTCAGAAAATGCCCATGTGTAGGTGTGTGAATGTGTCTGTGTGTGCACAGACTAAGAAGAGAAGGGAAACTGGACAGCGTGGGGAATCCAGAAAGCTATGTACAGTTCATTCTAAATAAAAACGTTGGTGGTTTCTGTTTTGTTTTGCTAACGTTGAAAAGAAAAAAAAAATATTACTTGAGCCTAAGCTTGCCAAGGGAGTTGGAGCAGGGAAGCAACACCTTCTATCTCCTTTCCCCCTAAACCCCAACTCTGAGAAGTTTCATCTTATCTTGGAGGTCCCTGAAAGCTGCTCTGGGAGAACCAGGAGGCACCTCAGAGCCTGACAAGGGGCTGGAGATACTAGGAGCTCAAGAAATAGCCAGTGAAACAGTGGACCACAGAAATACAAAAGAAAGCATGGGGAACCCCACCTTTGTGGTACTCTGAGTGGCAGTCATAGGCAGCACTAAAGGGTGGAGATAAGGCACACCCCTACTTTTGGCTCTTCCTTTTGTTGAGAATGATACAGGGACCGCTGGGCTGACCTAATTGGTCTCGCACCCCTAGACACAGTGAGAAGGGTGAGTGTTCAGGTACTCGATGGCCCAGGACCCAAGGTGTCTGTTGGATCATACACAAGCTATTTATGCACAGAGATAAGAAAACAGAAAACCAAGATGCCTGCAATAATATTAAGGATGGAAATAGCTCCTTATGGAGTAAATTCTTCCTCAGTGAACACAGTCTCATCCCAATCATTTCCTAATTCTTGAGCTAACTTTTCAAAATCACGTGGACTTTGCACATGAGGCTTAAAACAAAAATCATACTAATTGCTAAGTTCAAGACATTCATTTTACAGGTGAAAGAACTGTGACTTCGCTGTAAAGAGGTAGCAAATCCAAACTGTCCTAAGAGATGACTTTCCCTGAAAAATCAGTCTAAATAGAGATAACAATGTACACCTGAAATGTACATATTAGGTGACGTCCCTATGCCAAACAAGAGGGACCTGAAAGAAACGTACTTTCTCTAACTACTGAAATACAATCCACAGCCATGAACACTGTGCCATATATTCCAAGGAAAATTGATACAGAGTATGGAGCTTTAATGAAAATGGTCCCCACAGGATAATAAGGAATGTACTATTGGGATGTGTGGCCTTGCTGGAGTAGGTGTGGCCTTGCTGATGGAGGCATAGCACTTGGGGTGGGCTTTGGGGATTTCAAATGCCCAAGCTACGCCCAGTGTCACTCTTCTCTCTTCCTGCTGCCAGCCTATCTAGATGTAGAGCTCTCAGCTACCTCTCTGGCACTGTCTATCTGCATGCTGCCAGACTTCCTGTCATGACAAGAAAGTATTAAACCCCTGAACTATAAGCGAACCCCAATTAAATGTTTTCCATGATAAGAGTTGCTGTGGTCATGATGACTCTTCACAGCAGTAAAAACCCTAACTAAGACACAGAGTAAACCACAGCCCCTAACAGAAGGCAAGACTCCAAGCAAACACTGAATTGCATAAGAATCCAAGAGCCTCTTTCACAAAAAAAAAACGGTTTTCCAAGAGCTTCTAGCTGAGGCTGCTATGCTTGCTGGTAAGGACTTGTTTGTCAAATTATTTGAAAATGGGTTCTATGGCAAATCAAAGTCATAACGGAAAGGAAGAGGCAAAATAACTTAAACATCAAATAATGTATCATGATTCTAAAGAGGAACTAAGATATGTTGGCATGACTACCTTTGCTTCTTCACTACCTGGCACATCCTGGAGAGCCGACTGTACGGATGTGAATTTCTTCATCTGGCTTAATTAATGAAGACAGCTACTTAACTCGATGCCCGTGTCTTAGTTGTCTTCTCTTAGTTTGTCCCCAATACTTCTTAGTTTCTAATATCTCATGCCAAAGCTACCTCATGCTTGTTCTCACTTCCTTCTAAGATCCCTCAGGAGCACACTGTGGTACAGCCCAAAAGGACCAGGGGCAAGAAGGATATTAGATGAGCCCCCAAGAGTAGAAGCTGGCTTTTGCCCCTGTGGGTGCAAACATGCTTTCTGTAACAGACATGGCCTGGTTCTGAACTATCAATGCCAAGAAAAACAGCAAGTATTAATATAAGTCAACACTGGCTTATGAGTATTAGGGGAAAAAGTCATCCATGTTGCTCACAGGACCTCAAGCTGCATGCATATAGAGAGATGACGTATTCTTCTTTCTTTAGATGTGATCAACTAATCTATCTTCTCAAGCTACAGCCCCTCTCGGGTCTGGATAAAAGCTCAAACCTACGGAAACCCCTGGGATGGTCTCCGCTTGGAATGACAATGGCACGTCAGTAAAAATCCAGCCAGTGAGTGGTGTTGTTTGAGAGCAGATAGATATTGAACCAAAGGATACTGTAACAGATGGAAACAGGAGCCTCATGCTTGGTCACTGCCTCCTAGTGTTATCGCCAATGAAAAATGCAGAAGCACAGCTTCTTGGTCCCTATCCAACTGGGTTTTCTTACCTTTGGTTCCATTGAAATGAAACTGTGGGTTCCTCTGCTCGAAAGAACAGACCTTTTAATGGTCCTACTATGGTAGAAGTGATAGTAGTCCTTCAACGCGCCAATCTGTGGGACAAGGTGGGAGGAAGAGCAGAGGGCAGACATGTTAATATCTGGAGACGGCCCGTTGCCTTGTTTTCCATTAAAATAAGAACACAAAACAAAAAGGTCCATAAATTATGCAGCTGCCTGATATACTTAAATGTCACTTGAACCTTGCTGGTCACTTTTCAAAAGAAGGACATCCGATATGAAATATGAGTGTCCTTGAAGCGGCGGCCACAGAACTAACGATTCTATTGGGGCAGTTAGCTTCTCCATATCGCCTGTTTAATGTTTAATTTATATGCAGCATTTTAAGTAATGCTATATCAATCTATATCCAAATGTGGGAAAGAAGGGAAAAGTCAAATAGCTGTCTAGTTATAAAAACACACTGAATTCTGTTTGCTGGGAGAAACAGACAATGAAGGACGCCGCCAAGTTATTTATACACTTAATTTGAAACACGTCTTAAGCAGTTGATCATTCACAAAGATAGCAGCGCTACTTAGATCAAGAGACTGTAGGCACAGCCCTCAAGTGCACTGGTAACTTCTAGAACAATCTTAGAGCTCAGCTTCTGGGAACAAATGGCTTTTTCTGTTTTACCTTAGCCTTGACTTTTAACACGATTTAGTTTCCCTCATTTTTAGTCTTTCCCAGTTAAAACCAGCAGGTCTATAAATACGCCCAGCATTGAAAAACAAATGAACAAGTCATTCAACAAGTGCATGCTTGTGGCAGCAGTTGATAATGTGCTTGAGGCACACCATGAGGACCTGAGTCTGATTCCCAGCAACCAAGTACAAGCTCGGCACGCCAGTGTGTAGAACCTATTGCTTGGAAGAGGAATGCAGAGAGGGGAGAATCCCTAAGATCTGCTGACCAACTGGCCAACTAGTTTAGCTGATCAGTGAGCTCCAGGCTCACTGAGAGACCCCATTTCAATGTAAAGGGAGATGGACAGACTAGATGGCTCATCAAAGGCACTTGGCTTTGCAAGCTCAATTACTGGAATTTGATCCCTAGAACTCACATAAAGGTGAAGAAAGAGATCTACAAAGTTATCCTCTCATATCCCTTTCACCCCCATGACACTCATGAACCCCTCACCCCCTACATACAATCACACATAAAACAATAATCATAAGTAAATGTAAAGTGAACAACTGAGGGAGGTCAATTCTGAACTCTTTGTATACCCGTATGCACACGCACACACATATACACACTGGATCAGCCAATGAGAACTGAACCCTACCACACAGGCAGGGCTTGTGCGTAGTATTTCATTTCTGCTGACACCCCAGCTGAACAGCATGTACTCTTGAGCCTGTGTTTCCTTTTCTGTAAAATTGGATTTGGGGCTAGTTAATTTCTAAGACCACTGCAGTGCTCATATTCCATTCTTTAACAGTAACACTTTCTTTGCTTCGGGCAAATACAGTAAATGTCTAATCCTCTAGACACCCATGGCTCTACACTAAAGGAATGACCACTGTGATGAAGTTGTCCTGTTGGTACAATGTAGACCTCGGGCTTTCTTAATTAAAACACCATTGGTCCAGGTTAATGTTTTCATTATAAAAAGTTGGTTTCCAAGATCCGCCTCCTCGTTATGCTCTCACTTCGTGTTTTGTGTCACTTAGACATTATCTCCTTGTGGGACTTTGTAATGTTGTACTTTCATTAAAACTTGAGAGAAAGCCTGAAGCCTCACATCTTTGATTCAAGCGGAAAATGTCCTGGTCTATACAGACTACTCGACAACAACAACAAAAAAGGGAAGTATGAAGCCATGAGGCGTCCGGTCAAGTCACTGCCTGGCACACAGTCATTGTTGGAAGCTTATTACCTTCCCTTCTCTCTTCACTTCCAATTCAACTTTCACCTCCCTTCCCTTGTCAGGATTACTTCTGGCCTATTCTGTCATTAGCTCTTCTCTTCCCAGCCCTCACTGGCAAAAACCAAGAGTTGATGACACATGATTGTAGGAAGGTATGCAGCAAGGGTATTTATACAAGACTGGTCAAAAGTGTAAGAGGAGATGCTGTTTGAGGAGACTAAACTGCATGTAACCTTGGACACCACCTTTCTGTGTCTAAAGGTGCATTCTGCAGAGAGCCACCTGTGAACAGACATCAGAGCAAATTCTGTAAATGTTCAAAACACCCAGCTGCCATCCTGAGGTGATTAATTCTATACAAATAAAAGCAGTTTCATCTCCTAGATATAGTGAGTTAAAAATAAATAAAAGTACACACCCTGGCTATTAAATGTTCAATTGTTGAAAGGAGAACAAGGAAGAATTTATAGTTGTATAGTATACCGTTGTAAAAATATTTTCAAAATTAAAAATTTCAAAACTGAGAAGGGACTTCTTTTCACTGCTTAATGCATGTAGCTTTTTATTATTAAAACCGCATAAACATAATTTAAAAATAAAGAATAGAAAAGTTTCTCTGAGAAGTGGACAGGGCTTAGTGTAGAAACTCACAGCTAGTGCAAGTCCAGAACAAAAGTGTCTGTGACATGCTCAATTACAAATGGGAGGTCTATATATCCAATTCTCCCAAATCTCAGGGACTATCACAGAAGATGGAGTGGAAAAATCCCAAGAGTCAGAAGACAGTACAGAGCAGAGTGAAACAGTGTCTTCCCAACATGCCTTACTAGAGAATTCACAGTGGCTACTGCTGCCTACAAAAGAGCTGCCCAAGATCAAGACAGTCAACAGCAGAACATGAAGGGAAAAGGCCTTCCCAAGCTCCACCTTACTGAGCAGTTATTGGCAGCTGAAGACTCCCAGGGGAAGGACAGTCAATTTCAACCTCCAGTGGATAGCCTGACACACGTGAAAGTTTGACTCTTGGTTGGTTATTTAAAAAACAACAAAACCAGGATACAAAATTGGGAGGGGTAAGGGAAGTAGGGGTGGATCTAGGAAAAGTTGGTGGGGGGGGAGAGAGTGGGGATGAAAATGATCAAAATAGTTGTGTACATCTATGAAAATCCCTGAGAGCAAAAATATACATTTTTTTAAATAATGAAAAAACTGAAATAGCATACACACAAATCCCAGCAATTTTTCCAAGGAGTATATACTCAAGTTCCATATGGCCAGTAGAAAGGCTACACCTACCCAGGCCCTAAACCACGCAGCAGTAAGCAATGATACCCTCCTCTTGGGGATTCTATTACTAAGCTGTGCAGTAGCTCACTGTAGTTTTTGGTTGATGCCTCATTTGCTAAGAGCTAAACTTGTGGGAAGCATCTTGTTCCTCTCCAACATATTATCAGATTTAGCCTAACCCCCAAGAGTTCTGGAAGCTAAATATCATTAGCTCTAATTGACTAACGGCGCATCCCAGGGCTCTGGGAATGCCCGAACACATCCTGCTGGGATTAAGGACTTGGTAGATAGTCACTAACATGATGAGGAGCCTAGCTCAGTTCCTGCATGACCCTGTGAATGGTCTCAGATGATGCAGAAGGATGATGACCCACCCTTCCGAGGGTCTTCCCGGAATGCACAACTAAGATCTAAACTGTACTTGCGCAGTGAGTGACAAGACATGGCAGAGGCTATACTAGTCAGACATAAAGCAAAGTCAAGAATGTTCTTGAAGGACCGTCTTAGGACTGTGACAGAGGTCTTGACATCTGCTTCCTAGCTGCCTGAGTATCATTTGGTACATCAGAGGTGATATTGTTTTTGTCATAGTTGTTTTGGTAGGCTCCCAAAAAACTACAGCTTTCTAGACCTGTGGAGACAACGCAGAGTAGCTTCCTAATCCCTTATCTTTCTAGTTGTGGACCAGGGTTAAGACTTTGAAAAACCAAGGGCAGTGTTGAAGGCTTGACCCTCCTAATATGCTCTCCCCTCTTAATATAAGCACATTCCAAATTAGCTGATCATAGAATCCATTCTCTGTAGTAGGTTCCTCTAACAATTCTAAACTAGACATACGGGAACCTCTTTAAAACTGACTACACCTTTACACAATCAACTCAGAGATGCTCCGTTGAATAACTCCATAGTCGTGTGCTATTGGCAAAAAGCTCCTGGATGACCCGCTGTGTCCACTCTGTCATCCTGTAGATGACAAGGTGCTTCTCATGGCAACTATACCATTCTTGTATCTTAAATAATTCCTCTTATGTTAGCTGGAATGATACTCACAAATGCAGCGTGTATGCAAGGCTGTACCATACCCTGCCTAAAGAAGACTTCCTGTGGCTTCTTTCGCTCTTAAATAATATTAGCTACACTTAATACTTTCTCATGATATTTCTAAAAGTCAACAAGAATAGGAATATCAAACACACTTACACAGGAACTTATTTGTTATGCTTTAGCCAACTCACTGAATGATAATCAGTACCTGCAGGCTCTCGCCTGGCCTCTCTCTGCAGTCTAACATCTTGTTCCCATTTTCTGGATTCCAGCCATGCTACCTACCTACCTTTAATTCCGTGACTCAGCCATGTTTGCTGACACCCCTACCAACAGCATCACTACCTCCATTCTCTCACCCTCTCTTCCTCTTTCTCACCATTTTGGCCACTCCCCAAATGAGGTCTCAGCTCTATTATATCATTTTGGAACCATAAGATGTACCTGTAGTTAAGCCCTGACTGGCACAAGTATCAGTCTAAGTCTGGTATCTTCATCTGCCTGCATTCTCCACTGAGGCTGCGACATGTCTGTTCCCAGCTCAACACAAACAGGATCACAGCAGAGCTTGCTGAAAGATGTAACAATCATAGTCACTGAATTGCTAAGATCACGTACAATCGCTCCATATGGTTCATAGTCTCTAGTAAGTCTATCCAATTGAAACTGATTTCAACAAAAATGGCTTCATTTGGCCTTAACTGAAGTACCAATCCTGCCAAGGTTATGTGATTGTGACAACTGCGGGCTGAGACGCTGTTTGCAAAACAGCAGCAGAAAAAAATTGTGTACATTGATCCAATTATTTTGTCTCATCCAAACAAAATAATCCATCTCCTTCCAAGAA